TCCAGAATTCCCCAGCCAGCTCTGGGGAGTTGAAGTCCACCCATCTTAAAGTTGCTGAGGTTGAGAAACACTGTTCTAGGGTTCCCACATGCTAGGATAGCTGTCAAAACCCCCCCCCCCCCCGCTTTTGCAAAGGGGAGCTAGAGTGGATCAAGAGGATCCCCCCCAACTTTGCAGTGTGTTTCACTGGCAGATGCCTCGCTGCACTTGGGGCCCAAACCACACTTCCGGCGTGCGACACCGCTCTCCCAAGGTCACGCAGCACCGAGCGATTTCACAAAAGCTCTCCGGCACTCCGTTTACAATAAAACGAAACTCTCTTCTCATGGCAGGGCCAAACCCACAGCAAAGGGAAGGACTCCGGAGGCAAAGACTTCCAGTAAGAACCAGGGACTCGACCACGACCGTGGCTTCCTGTCTCCCCACGGCAGCTTCCTCACCGTAGCAGGAAAGCCCACGCACGGTCCTTCCTCTAAGAAGGCCACCAGGTTCTGCCCCACGGCTGGGAGGACGGCTGTGACTTTCCCTGGGAGCAAGATCTCTCTTTGCAATTCTGCAGGGCAGGAGGATAAGGAAAGGGGGGGGTGTGCGTGCGTGTGTGTGTGTGTGTGTGGGTGGGGGTGTGCGCGTTGGCAAGGAGATCTCCCGCCCTACCTTCAGGGCCAAGCAACAGCCTTTGCCCCATTTCTGTAAAAGGAGCAAAGTTGCCAACAGTTACGTAGCGGGGGCAAACGTCAGCAGGGCCAGGGAGGAGCGCATAGCTCTGGGTGTGCGCCTGTGTGTGTGTGTGAGAGAGAGAGAGATTCAGCAGCAGGGCAAACTGGGGATTCCCCTTCGAACTTAAGTTAGCTTTGATTAAACAGCAGCAGGAACTGTTCTTAGGTTGACAATAGCAGAAGCACTAAGAAATGTCCTGGCTCTGAACGTCACCCTTGCCCAAGAACAGGAAGCAAAGAGAGGATATAACTGCAGATATTTGTAAATACATCAAAGCTGGCTTGTTGGAGAGAACCTTAACCTTACTGAAACCATGCTGTGGGCAACAAGACCCCTCTCAATTTGAAGGGGCAGTAGATCGTGAATGTAGTATGGATAATTGCCCGTGCAGACCATCACGGGGCAGGTAGACCACCTCATCTGGGCACCTGTGGGGGTCTTTTTTTTTTTTTCCAAAAAGTTGTCTAAATTAGAGGCCATCATCTATGCCCAAGCAATTGGTTTCCATACCCTTTAAGTCGGCATTTCTCAACCTCAGGGGCTTTCAGGCGCCCGGGCAGGCGACCCCTTTCCTTTCACCTCCCCCCTCCCCCGGTGCCCGTCGCTGCGCCAGTGGGGGGCACGGTGCCCCACTCAG